GTCGCGACGCTAACTATCGTCGTCGTCCCCCCCCTCCCCCCCGCCCTTCTACATCCACATCCTTATTCCAACCGTCTTAAGCGAGTGCGAAAGTACAATTAACGCGTTCACGAGAGAACAATCGAAACGGTCGTCTCTGCAGTATTTTTTCCAGTTAATTAAATCCCCTAGATCCTATCGGTCTAGGGACTTTTGTGTCTGCCGTATAAATTTATTGTTACGGCAACAGCAGCGCCGGAAATAGATAGCGAGGAGGTGAGCCTAATGGCATCTTTGAGCGTTACACCGTAAATCTCAAAGCAATTTTCTTTGGTCAAACCAAAAAATTTGTTTTCTTTAGTAATTTCGAAAATAAAAAAAAAGTCAACCGTTACACGGGGCACGACGCCGGCGGTGGCGTCGGTCAGCGTTCACGGGCAATTATTGTTAGGATAATCTGCGCGGAGCCTGCTGGGACTGTTTAAATTAGAGGGAGTAGTAGCCGAGAGGTATAAACATCATTGCGTACTATACCTACCCCTAAATCATTGATTGTTGCATTATCTGTTATTGGCAATGCAATTAACCGTTTAGTAAAACAGCGACGCGTGCAATAGCAGGCTTGGTGCGCCACGGGTACCTTGTATAAAGGCCGCACGGGCAATGACTGTTCGCAGGCATAGACTATACGGAACGATAGAGAGGAAGAGAGTGAAACGTAGAGAGGCCAACGCCGGGCCTATCTGGAGAGAACGAATTGATTTGTTGTACATGAGCGCCCTCGAATCCCGATTCCCAAATCCCGAAACCGGCGGCGCTCCGCTCCGCTCTTTGCCAGGATTAAACGCGCCGCGAGTTCCGTGAACGCCGTGCGGCACCGCTGCTGGACTGTGCTCCGCTATATTCAACCGTGCCGGGTCCGCACAGCCTCCCTACGAAGCGATCTGGACTCTCCTGCGTTATTCCGCCTATATGGTCAGGTGCAATTACAATCAGGTTAATAATTGTTAGGCGGGCAACACGGGGTGTCAAGGGATGAAACCGTGGGTGAGGAGGGAGGTTGGTGGGGGAAGAAGAGAGGGAGAGAGAGAATGCACGGTTCGTTAGCCATTGCCCAATATTACCGGGACTGGGGATGAACTTTGCTGTTTCTGCACCCGTGTGCATTCGGGACGACCTGATGCACCACGAAACCCGGCTAGAAAAACTGTGGATCAATTCTTTTGCTTTGCCCTGGGCTTTAGGGAAATCGAAAGAATCGGAACGGCCGCTCGGATGCGTTGCAATTATCGCAATTCGCTTCCGCCTGCTGTTATGTTTTCTGCTGGACTTAAAAAGTGCATTAGCCCGGGGTCCAAGGTTGTTATCCCGGCCCTGTATACGATAATGGGGAAGGCGTCCGCGGTATACTCTTAATAAGAGTGGAAGCTCGTGCTCTAATTATCGCCTAATAACGCCTTAAGGCCAATAAGATGCCTTCTAATGGAACGTTAACGGCATCGGACCAATTATCCTTGCGCGGACTGGTGCGTATTAAAATCCATAAAGGACCAAGGTTGTTAAGCTAATGTTACCCCCTTACACCGGTAGCAATGGTCTTCTTCGTTTGGATACATAGTTACCATTAGATTTGGTTTATCTGAGCATAATCACTGTAGATTTCGTATTGGGTAAAGGAATTTTTTTTTAATTTAGACACTTCAGATTCAACTGGGAATCAGTCACGATTGAAATTTTTTTTTTAAATTTGAAGACATCCGAATTTTCACGAAGTTAGAATGGTACTTGAAATTCTCGGATTTTTAAAATGACCGAACAACATTCGCATGAATATGGAGGAGTGTTCTAATGCCTGTAGGGCTTCTCAGCCACCTTCCAGCTTCACCTTGAGCTCCATCTACAATCCCCCTCTCCCACACCCCCTACCTACTACCGACAAGCCACCCCGAAGAGCCCAAGGCTTCTTGTCGAGGCTTTCGGCATAAGTCCTCGTTATGATTCAACGCTTTAAGCTGGTCTTGGCTGCTCGTGTTTCCCCTGCTAATTCCTCGCAAGTTGCGTTGTCTATTTCCTAGCAGGTCGGAGTAACGCATGAGGACATAACACAGCAATTAGACACGTGTAATATGTACAGTCTATGAAAAAAAAGTCCGTTTAAAGAATTCTTCCTGTACAACGTAGTGTATAGTTTCATCCGTTTATAACGCATTGATATTACGTACGCGTTACAGCAATGAAATTCGTGGAGATATAAAATGAGAAAATAATAGCAGAAAGATTATTGGTTACCAAAAATGAGGCTAAACAGAAGCAAAAGGGGTAGGCGTCGAGCACGTGTAGGCTGCCAATGCTCGCATAAGGTATGGCCGAGTTACAAAGGTACGGTTAAGCTACAAGGGCATCATTAGCTGAAGCAATCTTGGTTTTACTTCGATATCTGAAAAGGAAGGTGCTCGCGATTCGTACGCAGGATCGACCAGTTGGCAGTAGGATCACCGGCAGCAGGGGTATCCATTAGGGACAGAAGTATTCGCGCAGGAGATATATCGACGTCGCCCAAGAGAATTTATAGTGACAGCGGCGCTTGAAGGGATTGTAAATCCCCGTTTGAGGATCGCTGATACCAAGTTTTATGTGGGACATTAGTTGGGTGGGGCGTGGTTGAATGGTGCAGAGTCGAGAATAGCGCTAGAGTTGCCCGAGTGCAATAAATTAGCCCGAAATGAAAGACAAATCGCCTCGGAGCTGTCCGCCCGCCGACGTGATAGAAGCGCGGACCTGGGCTGATGCCGGCTGCCGACCGGTCCCAAGGGTGAGAAAGGAGACCGAACCTCGTCAGCCTCCATTCGCTCTTCCCTGCCATTCGATTCTCTTTCCCATATTCTCATTCTCGACATTAAAACCTTCTTCTTCGCTTCCTTTCATCCGAGTCCTTGGTTATCTCGCTCCCGGTCGCTTCGCTTGCTCCACTCACGGATCAGCTGTCCTTGTCAAGACTGGTCCTGCCTCTTAGATCTTCGTATCCTCTTGTTACGTCCTTCCTTTGTCCCTTCTCTTTCCTTCCACGACGCCGTTTCTCTTGGAACTAATACTTCAATGTCTGCCCAGGAACACGGGCACCTTGACGGACGTCTGTCGTGCCACCAGGGACCATTGCTCAGCCGCACGTTCACTTCCCGGAAACGTAAACTTTCTTTTTACATGGATGCCATGAAAACTTGCCACTCCGACTGTCTTGCTTGAAAAGTCAGAGCCTTCCTGCCGATGGATGACAGGGTCATAAGATCTGTAAGTGATTATAGGTTATGTTACAGTTGACGTGGCTCATAGACTAGATAGCGCTGGGTCCCTTGGTTTATTCCTCATCCGAGATGGAAGGGATCGATTCCGAGTTCAAGCATAAGACGAGGAGCAACTATACCTTGGCTGATTCCTATGGAATTAACGACAAAGGCCTTTCGCTAAGGAGCACTCGCAAACGCAAGCCCTCTGGCGTCCAGGCTTAGCAAGGTACCTGACGTCTCGTCTACAAAGCTTAGACACGTCAATTAATTAGCACTGTACTGCTTCAGGTACGTTCACGGCGGCTGTGCGTCTTTCTCCAAGGAGTCAAGTTTCCGTAACTCCTACTGCAAGCTAACCTCAAGCGATGAAGAACCTTTCGGGCTCCGAGGGTTGGGATCCTGATTGAATCCGAACGACAAAGGGAACCCAAGATCTGCTCGTCTTGAACTTGCTGATCGTCATCTCCGGGTAGAAGGTCAGTTACTATCCTTCGATGACCTCGATATGGTTAACAGGGCCACGTGGTCAGAATCGACATCAAAACTAAAAAAAGAGAAAAGGACTAACGGTCCAAGAAAACGAATATCTACCTTACCTATCTACCCCCTGTATCGGCTTCCTATGAAATTATAGATAGAGGTTGGCTTGCGAGACATCCCTGAAGAGGGTGGTCGACTGCCTATAGGCCTTTGGCATAGAAACGGGTACTACAGAGGGTGGTAGTAGCCAAGCAAAGCCCACTGAACGGACGACGATAGATCAGAGTCTCTTCTGGGATTGGCGGAACGCTCAGGGATGGTTATCGTTCTGCAATACAATCAGCAAAGTTTCTGCAGCGGCGTGCGATAAAGCTTTATGTATATTACTCGTTCAACTAATGATAGTGCTGGTACGTGAGCCTTTCGTCAAAGACCCTTCTTGCGTCCCAGTGAGATAGCCAGGTCTTGGATACGAACCTGCCCTGATGCTTTCTTGGGAAAGAGTGTCCCGTCATAATGACTTGCGGAAAATATCACTTCAGTTTTGACGTTCGCCGCTTGTGGTTTTTGTCTTCTTTATTTTCAAGGAGCCACGACGAAAGCGGGTAACGGTGCGACGTAAACTTATGGCCGGTACTCAATTGTTCTGCTTACGGCGACTGGCTGCGAATTGAATACCTGGAAAACAAAGCGGACGGCGCTAATTTTGCAAAAAGGTTTCCTAGCTGGAAAATAACTCATGCCTAGGCGGCACTGTTGGCGAGTGTCTGTGGCAAAATGAACGTTTTAATTCCCCTCCATAAAAGCCAACGACAAATCAAACTTTGACATGATTAACTGGCGGACATAAATATCGGTATCAATGCACGTGCACGCAATGACGCGTCGCGCTGCGTCCAGTCTCACTCCCTTTGTCTCTCTCTCTCTCTCTATTTACCTCTCGCTTTATGTAGATATGTATATGCCTATAGTATAAGTATATATATATAAATAATGCTCACCTAAACCCAGATGTTTCAATATTATATACTACAAATTAACGTATGACTGTAATCTCCATACAGGTTGAAGTCGATTTTTGAAATTTAAAAATTCGAATTTATATTCAAATATTCATTGATTATTAATCTTCTTTAAGTGTTGTATATTGTATTGTCTGATTTAGTTGAATTGATATGATTTATTAATTAAGATCTTCACTTGATTATTTATTGATGTCTTATAACGAGCTGAAAGTCACTTGTAATAAGAATGGGTGATGAAAGTGAAAAGTTTTTAAAATCGCGCACCCTCCTGCCATCTAGCGGGTTCAGGTTCAAGCTCTTGAACAAGAATGATACGAAAACCAAACCAACTCACCTACCACGAATACGAAATCGTGATCCTTGTCTCACCAGAGATTTATGATCAGGATCAAAGATCGTATTCTGAGGATACTTAATCCTGTTCAACAATATCGATCCGTCTCGATCCAATAACTGCGTATTTATCTAGGAAGAAAATAAATATTTAAAAAAATTATCCCTTCGAATTTATTACCTTATATAACAAACTAAATGAAAAAATCAATATCAATGAAATTCATGGCATATGACATGGTTGTAATCGCATGGAGTTTGACTAATTCGAATATATGTATTATTCGTGATAGTAATTTTTGACACGAAGTAACAATTACCTATCCATTTCTTTTTGATAGAACTATTTTAATTGTGCATAGAGAGTCAGCACGGCGATCCCGGGATTTAAGACAATTCATTTCCAGCAACTTAAAAGTTTCTGGTGCACCTAAGAAACTGGGTTAGTGCAACAGGTGGGTACTAAAGTAAGTATACGCATATTACGGTCACTCCTTAGGTACAAATTGTTCACGCACTTGAACGTTACACACCTGAGGATGAACCTGATAGTGTTATCGAGGTTTTACCAACTGGTTCAGATAGTAGAACAGATTGAGGTTGAAACTGCATCGTAAAAATATTCAATGATAATTTATCGAAGACACGCACTTTGGTTACTTTTGCTCTTATACCATAGTAGCAAAAGTGAAGTTAGGTTAAATCAGGTTGTGCTAGGAAAATCGCTCACGACGTACCAGTAGCTTTCCCGAAATACGGCGACGCCGGGTTAGAACAGTTGGAAACATAAATTAACCACAAAAGGCATTATCAACCTATATTGCCATAATTTATGGCTACTAATTAAAGGGTTTAAGGAGGATCTCGGGGCTGATTTGCGCGCCGCCCGAGTGGAGTGAGCAAAGTTTAAACGACAAGGGCTCATTAAGATATGAACCGAACTAACGGCTTGAGAGCGCCGTCGAGCGTCGTTGTCGCCATCTTCCTTGTAAAAAATTAAACTACGTCGCAGCATCTCGCCACTCGGGAAGTCACCATGTTGAATGTAAGTCATAAAGTGGATTATGAGTACCGAATTGTTACGCCCGAGGAAAAAGCATTTTTGTCGTTCTTGATGCGAATAGCAAAAGAATTGTACAGTGGCGCCACCCGCGGCAGCTGTCGGTAACTAAACGCCTAAATATTCAATGAAAACGATGAACTTCCTCATTTCCTCGTAGTACACCGTCATTAACAAGTACTTAGGAAACATCGTCGTGGCGAAGCGGAGTAGAACGCGCCGTGCTCGCACCTGCGTGCACCATTAAACGCACTATTAAATATTACCGCAAAGTTTTATGGCGCCGTAATACGCTCGACGACTTCTAACTCAGATGCCGAGCTACCGAAAAGATATTTCGCCATTTTCAAAGCAGAAGATAATAAACAGTCTTTAAAATCTGTTAGGACTTTATTTATCACTCCCGGTTTTTTTTTTAGAATTATAACAGGGTGGCAAGCATCAGCGAATGAATGTCGAAGAGCCCTGAGAAGAAGGAGATGAAACGGACGAAATGAATGAGGTGGATGAAGTGGATGGTAGCTGCGGGCGTGAAATGAAAGGATAATCAAACGAGATCGCGACGGCATCAGATAGGTATTGTCATTTCCCTTATACAGGCGATAGAGGGTAGCATCCCCGTAGAGCTACCCCTCTCGTTACGCGGACTCTAACGTTCGATAAGCCGTCCCCCAGGGTCTATACAAAGGCCTAATTACCCATAAATTTTCTGATTTATAGCGGTCTAGAAATGTAAATATGAAATATGAAAATGAGGATGGGAGTAATAAAAGTGATGTACGAGGCTCCGTAGGGTCGTTCATGAAGGCGTCCATCATTGGTGTGACAGGCTTCTTTGTCTGGTGGCGGCGGCCGAGAGCCATTTCGCTCTTCTCACTCGACACGACACGACGCGACCGTCGTCGTCGTCGTCGTCGTCGTCGTCGTTCATTCGTTCGTTCGTTCGCAGTCGTCTCGATTCTCATGTGAACCGACCCTCCTATCCCGCAGACGCATTTTGTGATCTATGGTACTGACTTGGTTTTACGAAAAGCCACGACTGCCGACGCCAACGCCGTCGCTGTCTCCGACGTTTTCGTACTCGCTAGAATTTCTTTCCTGTTCCCCTTTTACCCTTTCTGGTTCTTCTCTAGCTGGTACCGTATTGCAACTTATTTTTTTTTTTTGGTAGCTACGAAAAGTCTAACGTCATTTTAAATGTCTTTATTTGACTGTACCCGCATATGTACATTGTATCGTTGAAAAAGTAACGTACTAAAAATCGTAATATTTTAATTATAATTAAGGTTTGGTTACAAACGGTTCACTTTCCACCATGCCGAAACTTCGCGAATCCATATATTCCGACATTACTACCTGAACTATGGTGTAAGTTGTATTTGGACGTAAAGGCTGATTTCGAATAAATCCGTACAGACCAAGGGACTCCTCGCCATTTCCAATAGTAATTATTAGAGTGTCATCTAGTTCTTCCTAAACAATAAAAAATTATTGAACAAGTACCTGCTGCCATGATTCTGTCATATTAAAAATTGTACATACATCATTCAACGTCATCGCTACGAAGCCCTTCCTGTTTACTGCATCCTTCACTTCCGTCAATATTGGATCACTGTCATCATCGTGATGATCATAAGCTCCGGATCCACAGACCATTACAAAGTATACCCTAGAAAAAGAATCATCACATTTTTAAAATAATTAAAATCCCACTGACTCACAAGTTCTTTTATTTACCAGATTGGGCCGCCGTTGAAGTCCGATGCTGGCGTCAGGACGACTTCCGCCGTAACATTCGTTATAGTGTCCATAATTATATGGGGTGGTGTCTCCTGCAATTCCGGTACTCCAGGCCGCGTGTAAATTGTCATCGAAATTGGCTCACTTGGTACGTATGTCACTGCTACCAAAGTGATAAAATATTCCGAAGCCGGTTTCAATCCTTTTATGTGAGCAGCATAGGTTGCATTCTCACGAAGTACCTGAACGTCCGCTGACATGCTGGTGTCGCAGCACATTTCGGAATTGTACGAATCTACGTGATCCGTTAGAATTCGGAAAGACCTTAGAATTCCATTGGACATGTTCGGATGACCCCATTCAATCACGAAACTCCTATCCGTCTTCCTTACCAACCTTATGAATGACGGTGGGTCAGGAACTGTCAAATAATTATACAATATTAAAAAAAAAATAATTTCATAATTCTTTAGACACTGTATAACCTACTTCCTTCTTCAGTTTTCACTGTGACATTCGCCGGCAGTCCTTCCTCTCCCACGACGCTACTAAATGGTCGCACCTGGAAATCAAATATTATCTTACCTTTGTTCTTTACATATTAAAGGGAAGTCATTGAATCGTTCAACATTTACTGATATGTTATACGCAGTGTTTGCTTTCAGTCCTGTTATCTCGTAACACATGTGATTAATCCAAGCTAGACAATTCATGACTTTTGCACGTTGATTAATGACTTGTTGACCAGCGGCGGTGATACGAATGTTTACGAAATCGATGGGACCATGAAGATATCTGGTGGGACGCCATCTCAGTCCAATCAATGTATTTCCGTGTTTGTATGCAATCAGTTCCTTCACAGCATCCGGTACTGTCACACGATTTATAAAATCACTAATAATCATATTAAATGTGTATTTGCTTATTAAAAATCGTACCTTCCGGTCTCGTCCAGACACTAAAATTGAATGCTCGAATTTCTTGCCAAGGTGTAATGTCTGTTTGATTATTAACAATTGCTACCACTACCTTAAAACCCGTAAAGCTCGTTAATCCCGTGAAGTTAGCCCAGGTATCCTTTGTGAAAGTGGTAGAAGTCAATGACTCGTCAGACCATGTTAATGACTCATCATCGTCCCTAAATATATTATGCCGATAACCTATTATTGGTCCATGTTGTTTCGCGCATTCCAAAGGCGGTAACCACCATACAGCGAGCCACGTACTTCCGCTTTGCGGAGGACGTTCGGGATCTGGCCTTGGTCCCACTTGCGGAGCTAGGATTAACAGTACCACAATATACATTAACAGTCAGTATATATAAAATAATATTAAAAATGGCTAGCTTACGAGAAGTCAAAGTTTTTATGGATAAAGATGCAAAATTTCCCACTTCTCCAGTAAATGCAGCAACTTTAATCTCGTATTTAGCATAGGGTGTCAGATCGGACAATAGAACCCTGGTGTCATTGATCTCGATAGTTCCGTTATTTGAACAATTATAAAAAAAGTCACGACAAGCAAGCAGACGTACACACTGTAATTTATGATAATGAAATTACTGTCATCAAATATTTATAACTTTTACTATCTTACCATGAACACAACAATGAAGTGTTTCACAGCATCGAATGATACTCCTTTGGGATAGGACCAGATCAATGTAACAGTACTTGAAGTTATATCCACGGCTTGTAAATCTCTTACAATAGGTGAAACTGTATAATATCCAAGATTATTCAATCGATATCTTGTTAATATAATTGATCGATTAATAATAGCATACCGGTTCCTCGTGTTCTCACAGGAATTTCAAGTTTGTAATTTGAATTATAAAGTCCATCGGTTACAACTTGTTCAACCTGAACTACATAATTAGTGTAGGGTCGTAACGATGTGAAATTAACTGGAGGATGCGTGACGTTCCCTTCGGCAACCAGTATCGCATCATCAGGTTGTTCCTTCATAAAGAGCCAATAATGATAGTACAATGGAAACCCATGCAGAAGTTTACAATCAGCTACAGGATTCCAGGTCACTTCAATGGTGCTGGCGGTTCGAGAAAGTATTGGATGTTCGGCAGGTGCTGGCGCTGCTTCAGGTGCTATTTTTAAAAATAACGATTTAAAATTTGGTAAAAATAAAAATCTCTAATTTACATATATTTCACCTGCAAACGACGTTGCTGCTATTATCCTAGACCATGGACCCATCTCCACTATGACCGCAGCCACTTTGATGCTGTATTGAGCATGAGGATAAAGTCCTGACAAATTCAAGTTCAGGTGTGACGTCTGTAACTTGTTTTTGGAATCTTGACAAGTTAACTCAGGACATGCCAAGTACCTTAGACACTATTAAAAAATATGATATTAATAATAATCAAATCAGTAAGACGAATTATTTAAATAAATTAAACTGACCTCGTACTCTACAATGTAGTTCTTAATTTTACCGGTAGTGACTCTGGGTTCGCGCCATTCAACTTGAAGCTCCGTTGGACTTATTTGTCTTGTAGTTAATCGAGTTACTCGCGATGGCGCTTTAACATGGAAAATAACTACGTAAAATTGATGATCAATCATAAACATTGTGCTTTGGATACAGGAATTAATTACCTCCTTGAACCGTTCGCACTACAGCTGGTTCGGATACGATCGACGACCCGCGAGATGTCACTGCTTGCACCTGCACTGAATATTTGAAAAATGGACTCCTATCTGGCACTGTAATACTGTTTTCAGTTGTGATATTGTAGAGATAACGTCGCCATCCTTCGCGAAGATAGACACGATAGTGTATCAATTCACAAGCAGTATAGTCATTGGGGTCATACTGGATGGTTAAAAATGCATTAATTTTATTGCATTAATATTACTCATTAACGAACAGATCATAACGTAACATTGAATTAGTAAATATCTACCTCCCACTCCACTTCAAACTCGTATCGCTTCTTCCAGGTAGCTTTGACGTCATACACCGGGTTCACGGGAACTACAATTATCGATTTTTCATTACACGAATATTCGATTGATCATTCATCGTTACCAACCTTGACAAGTTGTAGTGACCATGGCGTAAGGTACGAGGGTGTCGTTACTAAAGAAATTACCGTCGCGATCTATAAGAATTATTCTTAATAAATAATTGACACCTGGACGTAAATCTTCAGCCACGCCGGATATACGGTGTACCGGATGTTCAGGTAACAGTACAGGAATCCTTGATTTCCAAATTGTCGACTTGACTTCCTAATAAAAATATCCTCGATGACTTGATATAAAGGTATGAAAAAAGTTACACACAGTACGTACCTTTAATTGGACTTGATAAAATCTTGGTTTACCAGATCCGGCCATATTGCTATCACCCGCCTCAAAGGTGAACGTTACTCTGGTGGCGCCGATGTCGCTTATAGTGGGTGGTTGCAGTAAATAGGTATAGGCTGTTATTAATAATTTCAATAAAAATAATGCCAATGAAACATACTATCTTCATCTTCGATTAATGACACTTACTCAGATTACAGAGTGGTGGATAATGTCCTGAGGTGCAACCCTCGGGACAGACGCCCGTGAAGATGTCGCAATAAAATTCGTCGCAACTGCCGCACGCGAACGCGCAGTTAGGACCGTACCAGCCAGGTGCACATTCTGCCAATAAGAAAGAAATTATAGGCTTTTGCTTTTGGTACACCTGAGTGTAACACGTATATACATACCAAGATCGCACCCTGTTCCTGTGTATCCTGTTGCGCAATTGCAGCCTACTATCGGTGCACACAATACTAAGCCAGTGCATCCATCTTTACGACCTGAACATTGTCCCAGGCAATCACGGCCAAATGCATTTTCGCCGCATCCTTTTCGTACGTATTTTATTTAATATATTTATTTAGTTAGGTAACGTTGGTACTTCCGACATACCTTCTTCGCAGGTTTCACCTATGAACCCTGGTGGGCATGTGCACTGACCAGTCAACGCGTCACATTGTCCGCCGTGGAAACAGCTGCGACAGGATTTTGATAATCCTAAAAAAATGTGGTCTTGATTTTTTGACTATATTGACAATTACTATTACTTCAATTAAGTACGTTCTGTAATTACTTTTCTGTTCTCCATATGTCGGTACGTTACATACGAATGGTTGGTTGCGATCAAGATGTACCTGGATTACGGCTATCTCCTCGTTATCTGAAATTATTGGTAACTCGTTAGTGATAAGCGAGTGTATTAATTATCTTTAAGAAGAAAAATAGGCGCTTCTTTTGCTGCGATAAATTGAAAATGTTTCTTTTTTCTTATACTGTAATTTGTACCATCAGGATTGCATCCCATTAGGCCGTGTATGGAGACCACTGCAAATGGATTCCCCTTTAGACCTTCTATCAAGATCTGAAGATCCTGATTAACATTCTCATCTGATAAATCCAATACGAGTCGTTGGAGTAGCCATTGTTTCTATCAAATGAATATAATCAACAAATTTTTTTAATTAGACCACATGTTTTCCCTTCGTTATTTAATAACGTACATTCTCCCAGGTGGCGCTGATTATCTGACCCATAGTCTTAACGGAGCCATTGCTAAGATGTACAGAAACTTTAATCCTTGAACCTGGCGTGGAATCCAAATAAGCAAAAAAAGATACGCAGATGCTTGGTGCATCGCTGCTCGCTAAAATTGGACTTTTCAAGATACCACTAACTCCTACAAGCGACCATACGCGATTATCTGCAAAGATAATTCCTCCAGCATTCTTCCTCATCTAGCTAATAATTTATCTCAATTTATATTACCAAGAAGCAAGGTCCAATCTCGTTCGATTTCTGAAGTACTGACTGCAATGTACTTAACTCTCAATGGATTGGAATCCACTTGGCTGAAGAGTAGAGTGCTTGAAACATTTCGAAAAAGTTGAATTTTCCCGCCACTCACATCCATCTTGAACATGACATTCTCCTCAGCCAACCATCTCTGAAATGTTGAAATTCCCCAAGATATTCATAAAGTCCCCTAATAAATCCTTTCTAGAAGTTTCTGACGACTTACTATGTAGACATTGCCAATACTGTGACATCTTCTTATTCCTATTCCTAGTCCCAGATCCACTTCATGGGTATATAAACGTCCTCGACCACACTTCAAAATACTACTGGTCTGGTGTGCCAAGTACAACATATTATGAATAATATCGATCACGTACATATCAGCAGTGTTAACGTCAGCTTCGTTCATAAGGAAAACACGAGCCATGCCACGAGTTGAAGTTCTGAGAGTGAAGTTGAAGCGGGGCCAGAAAAGTGGTGTCAGCTGTGACATAAGTACACCGTTCGTATGAACGTGTACAGTCTCTGAAAGTATGCATGCCAATGGAGAGAAAAGGGCTAAGTAAAGGTTACCATAAGAAGGTAAGAAAAACATAGGGACATTTTCTTTACCATACTGCAATCTTAATGGCGGCAAATTCAAATCTATTCCACCAGTGATTTCCCAACCTTGCGAAGTCCATGGACAGTTTGGCCTTAAACCGATCTGACAACTAGGTACCACCAAGCCTACTTCTGGTTCTGAAAAATAACGCAATATAGCAATGGGTACGTACAGTTTATAAAAATGGCTCAGTGATAAAATGACTATGAACTTTACCGAATGTGGTACCGTTTGGTGCAATAAACGGCAAACCCAGTGCATCGGTCCTGGAGTGGCACTCGACGCTAGTGTAATTGAACGGGAACTCACTTCTGCCACGGTAGATCGTCGTAACGTCCAAACTTCCGCATATCCGGGAGTACTCTGCACCGATAGATAGCGCAATTACGTTAAAATGCATTATCATCCGATGGTAGCTGCACGCGACGAAGAAGAAGGAGAAAGATTAAAAGAACGAAGAGCGGAACGAGGTGCTTTGAAAAATCGAGAAATCGTCACTGTGCAGTCGAATTAATGTTTTTATTGTACCAATCCAGAACACGAGCAGGAGAAATGCAATGGCGGACGGTGGTAGAAGCGGAAACATTTTCGAATTACTGAGAGTCGCTACCAAGTTGCTTCGTACTTTATAAGTTCTTGGTGGATTCGATACGCCTGTTTAATAAATATATTTTCAACGGATCGTCAAATAATACTTTTGTATTCGTGATGGTATCGTTATACACCATTGTATTTTAATCCGTCAACAAACCTACCCATATATCGATTGCTATCTACCTGTCCTATAATTAGTCACGTGTTCACTTTGCTAATGATACCATTGTGTAATGTCTGTCGTCTGAAATTATCTGAACATTCTATATGCTTCATCTTGCAGTGGAAGAACCTCGTATGCCTTTATATTGTATTATGTAAGGATGCCATTGTAATATTCAAATAAATATTATCAACTAATTAGTACAAATGCAGTAAACGAGGCCTAGGTCGTGGGAGAATAATCGTAGAAGTTATAATTATAATTGTTTAGGACAAAATAAAATGTAGCAGCTAATAAATGAAATACTTACATGTATTTAAATAAATGCTTATTTTTTCATGTCCAATTGTTTATAACCATTTAGAATACTTATATGATTATGACGTTTTTTGGCTAGTGCTGCCATCGATGGTTAGACAAATAACTATCTGGACATGTGTTGAACATTGACTGTGATTGATAATGTACCTATGTAACTTCATGTAGCGTAAACTACATTACCAGCAATTGATTTATTATCTACCTATGGTTTTTTGTTTTGCGATCTATACGACGAAAGGGTATATTTGGAAGGTTTTAAGGACATTCCGGACCTCTCGTTACCATGCGAATAAAATGTAACTGAAACTGGTAACTCTGGTCACCGTCGGGTACTCTCCTCTGCCGGGCAATTCGGTATAACATATTCGTTCGTGATCACGTTCAGCTTGGCTACGACGGGATATGCGTTATTGACGGAAGCGACGATCACAAAATCCTACTTCCGGACTCGCCGATCCGATTTAGCGCTATGTTTTTGGTATCGCCTAAAACCGTAGCGTTGTAAATCTCCCTTCTCATCTCTGCCGGTAGATAACAGGATTTCTACATAGAATCTTCCCCAATGCGGAGTTAAGCGCACATTCTGCAAGGATTACAATCACTTTGATAAGACTTTCGCAATAATTCGAAACTGAAAAAATAATCCGACCTGGAAATTTCGATGTGAATTGCAAAAAAGCGAAAAATTTCGAGCCAGATTAATCTTTCAGTTTTAATTTAATTATTGCAAAAATGACGCGACAATAATCGATAATCTTGCAACATATGTGCTAAAGTCCGCTTTGGGGCAGAATCTATTTAAACTCCAAAAAGCACTTACGTGTAAAAAACTACGCCAAGTACATGAGTGCTGTGTATTCCTCTAATAAAAAGTATTGATATCAGATTATTGAGGCCAAGTACATAAGTCACTACATATTTTCCTATTATATGATCTAGCACACTTACGTGTAAAAAACTA